CACTTGGCGAAGGACTGGGAAAACACCTCGGGAGGACTCGCTGCGCAGCCAGGCATGGCGGAACTGGGCTGGAGGAACAGTCTGAAGTGCATGTTTTCCAAACGCGGGGTGACACAGATCTCCTCTCCCTCTGACCACGGGTATTGTGTGTTCATCATCTGAAAGGCCAGTTTCCAGGCAGCAATGCCTCACTGGCCTGCTTCAAGAAAGACTGAATCCAACTAGACCTTTAGCATGCACCTGCCCAATCATAGCTTGCTCTCTGAGGATCTGCAGTTGCCCTTCTCCAAGTCTGCTTCCTCCTCTTTGGTGTCCCCCTTGGAAAACTCTACAGTCTTCTCATTCTGAAGACAAGAAGGAAAGAAAAAGAGTTGGTACGGTTTTCATCCTGGTCTCGGGTATTTTTTTAACTTTGCCTTAAATTTGCACCTTTGGATGCTTTTTTTTTTCCTTAAATTCAGAGCTCCTTGTACCCACCTGAGCTGGGGTTTGGCCCGCCCCTGTGTCATCCGGCAGGTCGACGCCGCGGGTCTCAGGCAGCAGGATGCAGGACAGCGACACCAGCACGGGGATGCTCCCGAAGATGGCCATGGGGATGGCCCGGTGGTACTTGTCCAGGGGGATGATCAGCGGGGCCAGGATCCCGGCCACCCTCGCCAAGGTGGAGCACAGCCCCACGCCAGTCTGCCTGGGGGAGCGAGGGGCAGATGTGGGCAGGGATCAGCATCCCCTGGGACCGAGGGCGGCCATGGGGACAACTGGGCTCTTGTTTCTTCCCCACCACCACCAGCCACGGCGGAGGGAAGCTGTGATGTCTGGGGAGAGCTCACCTGACGACCGTGGGGAAGAGCTCTGCGGCGTAGACGTAGGAGACGGAGAAAGCGGCCGTGGCTGTGAACTTGCCGATGATGGCCAGGACGGTGATGGCCACGGGCTGGTCTGGGGGGAGGAGGAGACACCACCACTGTGACCTCCATGGAGATGGTTCACTTGGGACCCAAACTCTCTCCAGTGTGATTTTTTAGGTCAGCCCTTTCTAATGGACTTACCAAGCAAACCTTGGAAAGTCAAGGACACAACCTAACCCTTTGGAAATTGTCCCTAGCATACTATTACCAGGAAAATATCCTCTGGAAAGCTGGCAAAGAGAACCCAGATTACTCCTGAGGTCTTGGGCATTCCCTAAATCTGCAGCTGAAATGAGCTACTGAGCCGCCATAGGTGTCTGGGGGAGTGCTCGGTTGGAAATACCACACCCCTGAGCTCCGAAACATCGTGCAGCCCCTCTCTTTGCTTCCCAGCCTTACTCCCAGCAGCAGGGGTGAGGGTGTGGACTGAAGCAACGTGGCACAAACAGATGTGGGGGGTGGGCATCGGGGTTTTTTTTCTGTTTGTCTAAAGAAGGGAGAAGCAGTGGATTTTAAAGCATCTCTTCTGCCACACCTTTCTGCAAGGAGGTGCCGGAGTTGGTGGTGAACAGTGGGTGGTGGTGTCTGATGGGCACTGCCTGCCAAGGGCCAGGAGCTTTGGGAAGATCAGGCACAGCCCTGAAGGAGAAGACACTAAAGCTGAGGGGGAGCCAACACACTGGGAATGCAGTGCCCTGGGCTCTGGCACTCAAGGCAGCTCAGCCCCTGAGAGAGAGGTGTGGCCAGCCAGGCTGGGAGGATGGGTCTGAACGAGGATAGGGATCACTGGGGCTCTGTCCAGCTCTGCTCATGGGCTGAGAAGAGGTTATTCACCTTCAGGAATGCCAGTGAGGATGAGACACATCAGGCCAGCCAGCATCAGCAGTATGGCCTGCACTTTCTTCCTCCCGAACCACTCCAGCAGGAAAATGAGGCAAAGCCGAGCTGGAAGCTCCACGGCCCCAAAGGCCAGCTGTGTCAGGTAGATGTCCAGACCAAAACTTGTCACACTAAGGCCCAGTCCATAGTAGACAATGCTGTCTGCAAACCTGAAATTCAAGTAAAGTGGAATAAAACATGTCACCAGATGGTTTTATGGGGGCTTATCGTCAAAAATTAACATGGTTATACCACACACAGCTTACTTAAACTCCCAACAATCTCTGTTCTGCTTCTTGTAACCACCTGTGACAGTTCTGTGGGATGAAGTCACATGAGATAAAGCAGAATGGATCCCCATATGGTCAGCAGCTTCTAGACTGAGCCCAAAACTTCTAGGTAGGCATAAAACTACTCCAAGGCATAGGGATCACCAAAATCTGGAATTACTCAAGTCTTTTTAACAAAACCCACAAAAATTATAATGAGTAATCATCTCCTCCACACGGCCAGGCAAGGTAAATCTGGCCCAGTATGGGGAGACAGAATCACAGCAGACAAAAAAATACACATATATATGACCACCACAATCACATCAAGTGAATTTACAGTTCTTGCCAACTATCAATCCCTCATTTTCTTTCACCCAGAAGTTTGGAAAGAGGGGAGCAGGGAATGTCTTACCAGACGCACAACATGATCAAAGTCACCTTCCGCAGGTGCCTCTTCCGAAAGAGATCCAGAAGACTTCCAGACTTGGTCTGTTTCTCAGGCTCCAACTTCAAATGCAGAAAGTCAAAGAGTCAAAGTAGACAAAGGTAACCCATGGCCAGCTGCTTTTCCATCTGCAGTCAGTGGAAAGCCTCAGCAAGTCAGGCTGCTGACCCTCACAGCTCTGGGAGGAAGGGCAGCCCCATGGGGGGCTCCTGCCTCTGTGCTCTGGGTGTCCAGCAAGGGGGTTGGTGACCAAGAGGTTCCTCAGGAGGAACATTTCCCCAGTGCAGGAGCTTTGGGGTGGGCAAGGAGGTAACTCCCCTTCTGACATTTATGCATGGAAAGCCACAGACTAAACAGAGACCTCATGCTCCTGACCCACACCTGCAATCCTCCCAGGACAAAAGCCAGGGAAGCATTTCAGTCCTTTGCACAGCCCAGAGTGGAGTGCAGGAAGCTCCAGGCTGAGCCTCAGCAGAAGCTGTGCCTCTTGCCTGCCCTCGTCTGTGTCCATCGCATCCAGAGCTGGAGTCACCCCAGTGATCCCCAGCTCCTCCCCAGCGGGATGGAAA